TTTTATTAAATAAATTCGATAAATCATTTAAAATAAAGTGGGGCGTTACAGTTTGGTATCAGAGCCAGTGCGTTTCTGTAGACTGGTTTATAAGTGATTATGTGTTTGAATTTTGAATTATGACCACACGTCTTCGTCACGCCGCGCTGCTTAAGGTATGTGTTTAAATAAGTATCGAGAAATACTTATGATGTTAAATGTGAAGTTTAAATTTTTGCATAAGTAGAAATGAAACTGCTTATGATATGAATTGTTGATATTTGGGGCTTAGGATCTATCAACCTTTAATCAGATTGAACTCTAGTGTTTGATGTTGAACTCTAGTGATATAGAGTTAAGTTCGGACTCTAGATGTTCCTCGTTATGAGGTTCAGTATGTTGTTATCGAGATAAGTTATGCCCATAGCAGTTTTCTTTGCTATATAATTATATTCAATGTCTTCAAGTGAGGACCCGGTCAATGAGAACCGAGAATGTATTCTCCCTCTTTGGACCTTTGTCAGGTTTCGAAAATTATGAGATGAGTCAATATCTTATAGGCTGTCATTTTTTATGGATGTTCATGGCCTCTGTTCAACCTCTGGCATGTTTATGTGTTTCGGTTACAAGCTAGAAGTACCTCTCGAAACTTGTGATATGATGAGATAAGTATATTTGGTTGAGAGTCTCATTTATATCATGATACATTTGGTCGGGTTCATTTGATATATATGTGATCTTTGATGATTGAGGTTGAATTTATGTATTAATGTGAATTGTTATATATTATCAAACCAAAAGATGTAATAATTTAAGTGAAAGGCATAAGACTTTATTTTCTATCTTGTTTAATAAGACCGAGTTGGACCTCGGACAATGTGTTTGATGATACTGATGTGTAAATCTTAAAGTATTGATATCGAGGCTTGCTTAACGTGTAATTTACGTGATTCTGAAACCATCTTGTGGTACAAATATTTTAAGTTGTCAAAGGCATGAAAACTAAATTTTTTTGAGCTTCATTTAGGCTCTGTTTTTGTCAAACAAGATGATGTTTCTTGGACAAGTGTTCTTCATGAGATTTGTAGTGCTTTGAATGAAGTTTCTGTGAGTTTTGGAATTTTGTGATTTCGGGTTAAAATGAATTTGTTATGATTTTCTTAAAGTTCGTCGAGCATGCAGTTTTTATAAACTCGGACATAAACTTTGACCTTAATTCATGGCTGTTTTTTATGATCTTAACGTGCCTGCATGAAAATGTGTTCTTCATGAAAATGTAATATATGTTGTTAGCTGCTTGTACAAATTGGAATTATGCAATTTGGAGTTTTGGTTGATTTTATATGATTTTTCTAAATTGGTGTTATTGCCAGAATTTTGAAGCAGTGGCGGGGTGTATGCATGAAATGTATACTCTGAATTTATGCCTTTAACGTGATGATATGTAAACATTCTCTCCATGAAATTTGTAGCTTTCCTTGTGTAGTTTCTGCAGGTTTTTGGTTTATATGATTTGAAGTTCCAGTTGATTTTATATAATTTTTCGAAGTGGAATGTACATCCAATTTTTATGAAACCAGAATTTTGTTTAAGTGTTGAATGTGTACTCGGTTTAGGTGACCTAAACGTGTTCTTATGAAACATTCTTCTTCATGAAATTTGTATATTTCCATGTGTAGATTATATTAGTGTTGAGTTTGTATGAATTGGAGTTGTTTAGCTTGAGTTGTTTCAATTTTACTAAGGTGCTGTATTTTCGAAAAATTGTTCTCTGGCTGTTTTTGCAAACTAAATGTTTTATATTATAACTTGTTGATAATGTTATAATTTGCCAATAGAGTCTTCAAAAGAATTTATAGAGAATTGAATTATCTATCTTGGGGTTCTTGAATTTCAATAATATCATGTCTGTAGCTTCGGTTATTATGCGTACACTGAGAACCTGTCAAGCTGCATATCTTTATTTATCCACTGCACCCATGTTTTGAATGTTTTCTGTATCATGTGCCTTTAACTGACTTTATCCGCCTAAGTGTTCTTCATGAAAGTGATAGAGGCATGAGTTAGGGATATTTTCCAAGTTGTTTCATCATGATATGATCTGTAGACTGAAAGTTATATGCATTTTAAATTCAACACGCATGCTGAAAATTTGTGCTAGTTCATGTTTAGGTTTCCCAAAATGAATTGTGAATTTTCAAAAATTAGTTTTTCGTCAATTTTCATGTATATGTGCCCTATGTGTCTTAATCTGGTTGGTATTGCGATGTTAGCTGGAAACACTTGCGAAAGAAGCTTTACGCTATACCTCGAAGTGTGGAGGCTATAGTTGTATATATGGTCGATCTCGTTTAGGACCGCCGGCACGATTAGCTACCTGAGTAAAAGCTGTTGTGACGGCCGACTTTGTTAGTTGAAAGGGTCAAGCGAGTCAACCATTCTAATGTTCGGCGATGACCGCCGAGGTTAGGATTTTTCCGGGCAGCGATGCCAATGTTTGATTTCTATGGAAAATTGTAGCTCAACAGTAATGCTTAAACTGTTGTAGTTTGAAAAGTATTGTAAGGAAGCCTTTTTCCTATCTAAGTACCTAGGATTATGAACCGGAAATTGAAATTTCTGGTGTGTGTCTTAACTGAATGCCGAACCTGGATGGGTGTAGCCACGCGAAGTAGTGGCCGAGCCCGCACGCCCGTGCTGAGAGACGTAAGGCCAACTGCAGTGGCCAACCGTTGACTCGCACGAGAGCTGCCGCCGCCATCACCGAATGCAGGAACTCCCCAGGCAGTGTGTACGGCCAAACCTTGATCTTGCAGCTGGTCCCTGAACAGGTGCATGCACACGTCCTGGCGCCCCGCTTATGCAGCGCCTGCGTGTGTGTCATCTCTCGGGTGACAGTGCCTTAAACTCCAAACCGAACCGTTGTATGAAACCCCTAATCAACGACTCTCGATATGTGAGGCTTGTCGATTAGTTTTCCTTTGTCTTATGCGAAACTCTCTCGTAATAGCGAGATTTAGGTCCCTCATCGTTTTCGGGCAGTGTCCCCGAGTCTCGATTGGAGACTATGTATATACTTCGTAGGGATCGAGATCTACGAAGAGTGAGAGAGTTTTGATGTTAGATCGTTAGTATGAGAATATCGAGCATCCCTAATCGTGAGACCGATTCTGCGATAGGAGATTGTTTTCGAACATCTAGTCGATATTTCCTAAACCGCATTCGAGGTGTTATTC